ACAACTGAACGAAAATAACTCAAAACCGAGTTAAATAGTTAGAAAATATTAATTATCGAAATTTTGCCAAAAATAGCAAAATTCTATTATTCATACCAAAACGAAGTACGTAATGAAAGGAAGAAGATCCCAAAAATCTGACTAAATTTGAGATCGTAATCTATGTCAAAAAGGAAATCGAAATATTACTAAATATGGCAAAAAATAACTTAAATTGATGATTCAGATGGGAAAATAGCTGAATTTGGCCTCGAAACTGATGCAGACCGAGCATAGCTAGGTGCCCATGACGTGCGCGCTGGAAAGAGCTTTCCGAATTGGGCTCATTGGCGTGATTCTGACAACCGTAGCCAAAGTTATGACCAAAATACCAAAACGTGTCCGAAAGCGACCAAAATTAGGAAAGATCGATGATTACTTGCCATTCTTGTGCTGATCCGCCAACTCATGATATCTCAGCGCCATTAACGAACTATCAGACAGTTCAGCCTCATCTGGCTCGGATCCCCCTGCATCACTTTCCCCCACCAATGAATATTTTCCCCACCCCTTTATCAGATGGTATACACAATGCAAATTTGTCAGGTAACTCGAATTTATCTGCAACTTGTTTATGCAAGGAAATCTCAGTCCTCGCAAGGCCTAACATTCCAATAGCTATACTGGCGAAACCAGTCAGGTGCTCTAAATGGAAGCAAGAAAAAGGAAGCTCGAAAACTTTCATATTATTTTTGGAGTATAATGTATCCTCTGCAAACCCTTCAGAATAAAGCAAATTTTCAAAGGGACTGTATGGGGAGGCAATACAAGTGTCATTGGTGCACCCCGGACGAGGAGCCTGATTGCAACCTATGCATCCAAATCCCTTCACTTTTTCACATTTCTGGGATTCACAAGGAATTGGATTATAGGTTGATGAAGTGTAGGAATCACAGGAAAACCACAAGAACTGGGAGCCAAGATCAATGACAGCATTAATCGTGACACGATTGCTGCCCATTTCTAGTGTCGTGTAGTATTGTGAAGTTTTTACGTTCTTCTTAACGGGAAGGACAAGCCCGTTAGATGGAGGCACATTTGCAGCATGTACAGAACTGCAAATAAAAATTGCAAGAAAGAAATAGAGGCTATGGAGAGAAGAAGCCATTGGAAACAGTATTATGCAATTTCAAGCAAGGCCTGAACACCAATTTGCACCGCAAAATCGAATGTGGATTACTTTTGCTAGTCAAAGTTTTTGTTATGTGGCTATTAGAATAGGAAATTGTAAATCTACTCCCACTTTGTCTACCATAGTGTACAAAATAGATCATACACGTGGAATCAACTATAAAAGCACGTTAGGGTCTTATTTTCTCACCAAAATGCATTTTGAAATAATATTTTAATGGAAAATATATGGTTAAAAAATAAGGAAAGATCTTGGATTTATTTGTAATATTATTTTATTAAAAAAGTGCATAATTAAAAATAAAATAGAAAAAAATGTATTTAAAAAAAATGTTGACCAAACTAAGGGCTAAATAAATTGACTTTGTCAGGTAGAAATTCGACCTTTAACCAAATAGGGAAATTGAGGGTATTATTATATTTTGATAAGATTTGGACCTCAGGGAATTGGCGGCTCGAAATTGAGGAGTCCCTTGATCTATTTTATTTAGCCCATGTTTTATTTAACAAAAAATTATCTTTTTTAATAAATTTTGATAAAAGTTGACAAGATGTTTAACTGAAATGTTGTGTGAATGAAAACGAGTTTAAGAAAAAATGAATTTTATTATTCCACGTTAGATCATTAATTTTTTTTCCTGCCAATGTACTAAAGATTTTTAATTCAATTTTGAGAATCGTGGTTCTCCTAACTATTCTGAACTAGTGCTATTTGTGACATTTACATTATTTTTTATTCTTTACTTATGCTGCTTAAGTGTCACTCACTTACTGGTAGATAAGTGGTCACTTGGATTGTGTTAGTTTGAATCATTTGTGACCCTTGGATGACATGGACGGTTGAGATTGATTCTTGGAGAAGATATTTTCGTTCTCTTGCTTCTTTGAGACACTGGACTTTTTCCAGACTAGACTTTTGGTTCTCTCTCTCTCTCTCTCTCTCTCTCTCTCTCTCTCTCTCTCTCTCTCATTTTGTTCTCAAAATCTATCTTCTTCTTCTTTGGGTGATCCGTGTACTGAATCTGGTGAGTTAGAGGGCTATATCGTGTGCATTATAGGCTTGAAATAGTGGCTGGAGTTAAAGCATCTTTCTATAAGTTAACTGGCCAAATTTGTGGCCCTTTTTGGGAGATCTCTTTTGATCGATGACCAAACAGATTTTTCACTGAGTGTTCTTTGGATCTCTCTCTTTCTGGATGACGGATTGGCAAGCGTAGAAGGGGCTATTCCTGAGCCTATTGTTTCCGGCCAAACAAAGGGAAGTAGAGCTCGATTTTTGTACTCATTAGTTTCTATGTTTTTCATATGATCGCGCTGTTTAGTTTATACTATGAGTTGTATAATGAACTGAGTGAGATTTTCCCAACAAAACTGGTATCAGAGCCCTTCGGTCTAGGACTTGGTCATGTTCTTCCTTGGATCTGTTTGGGTATTTTATTTCGAGTGAGATTATCAATATGGACCTTCTAAGGTCTAAACTGAAAATATCACTTTGAGGTATTCTATTTTTAACCGACACTGATTCCTCTGTGTTTTTCATTGTATGTTGTTGACTGGTTTGGGTGATTGATGGCTTTGGCTGGCTTGCTTGATTGAGAGCTTGAAGGTATATTTACTGTTTTTTAACAGTCAACTGGTAAGATTGTTCCAACCTCACCTTTGAATACGGTTTGGTGGTCTTTCTTGATTGATGCATGATTACTTGATTACCTATTTGTGAATTCTGGTGATTAGATTCTTGTGACTAATTTGTAATCTTGGAAGCATATTTACTTGCATCAATACCTGTGTATTGCCGAGCTTAAATCACATTTGCACAAACATCACATTGAGGTTTCTTGATCGGATTGATTCATTTCTGTGCTTCAATTTCTGGATATTGTTTTTTAACTGTGTTTTTATATTGATCATCTGGAGAAGATTTTTTCAAAACCTTTTCGGTTATGTCCACGAGTACAGGCCACCCTTTTACAGAATCCAGAATGGGTTTGAGGGTCGAATTATCGCAATTCAATGGAAATGGGGATTACTCAATATGGAAACAGAAAATGAGGGCCGTTTTGGTCCAACAGAGAGTTGCTAAAGCTC